CTTCAGTGTCACATGATCCTTCAGAAATCATTCTGATATGCTGATTTGCTGCTCAAGAAACATTTACTATAATTATCAATGTTGAAAACAGTTGTGCTGCCCAATAAATAAATAAATATTGTCGCGGGGTGAATGAGAACACAGGCTCGCTACTGCTAGAAAGTGCCCCGGAGGGTGATTTATTGCCCACACACTGATCACACGTGCTCGGAGGAATGGTGCTCGGTGCCAGTCTCCGTGGGGTGAAGTGCCGTGGTGCAGATCCCTCTCCTGGGGTGCCGTCGGAGTCTGTGGATAAGGAGAAACAAGCATTAATGTCGCCTGGAGCTCCGTTTCAACCTCCCTCTGGTGCCTCTTCTCCTGGCTTTTATGGCCAGCGGGAATGAGCTCCAGGTGCGCCACTCATCACGCACAGGTGTTGTGCTTCTGTGATCAGTGTGGCAGCGGCATTTCCAGGGCGACGCTGATCTGGAACCGGGATACTCGCCACAATATATATATATATATATATGTGTGTGTGTGTGTATGTGTGTGTGTGTGTATATATATATATATATATACTTCACATTAAATTAAAGAAACTGGTTAAATCTGCTGCAAGAGTGTTTCTAATACAATGAGTGATGGCAAATTTGACATCCTTCTCTCTTCTGACAATGTAATCAATCTCTTGATATTTTTTTCCTATTTTGGAAAGTCATAGAAATGCTATTGTGGATTTTTGCATTTGCTATTGGGGCAAATGGGAAGGCAAAAATTATATTAGTGGTTGTTTCCATTCATCACTATAAAACAGAGGGGGGCAAACTAAGAAAACTAAGGCCGGGGCACTTTCATCTGGTCCGTGAGGCAGATAGTCCAAAATAACAATTTTTTAATGCAATATCAGCAAAATCCAATAGATGCGCGGTAGTCTGCAGTGCTGTAACAGTTACGTATACTGTATATTCAGTCAGAATTAGAATGCGCTCTGTAATATCATCAGGGTTGGATTTATATAATACATAATATATAATATTATCACCCCAAAACAGCAAACAAAAATATTTATCCGAGGAACTTGTTACAGTGTTCTCTATCACAGAATCCCGTTGCTGATTACAAAACATCATTTTATTTTAATGCTAGTAACAGAGGCTTTAGCGTTTAATATGCAGAATAATGCAGTTATTGAGAGAGAGAGAGAGATGGAACGTGTGAATTAACACAGTACTGCATGTTCGGCTCTGAACATAATTCAGCAGCATCATCTACCAATACCAATAGCGAATCCGTAAATTTAACTGCTTCAAAAACAGCAGCATTATTGAGAAATGTCATGTAGCTTTTCAGTTACAAAACTATTTTACTGATAAAGTCGTGGGTCAGCAGCACTGACAAGTTTGTGTGAGTTTGTTCCACAGTGCTCTGTAATGTATGTGTGTGCGTTTGTAGGGAAGAACGGGAGAAAGAAAGATGCTGTGAAAGAGAGCGGGAGAAAGAAAGTGTGCTTTTAAATAAAAAGACAGATCCTGGTAATAAAAAGTAATTTTGTGGGGAAAACATGGAAATAGTTTGACGTTTTTGTCATATTATTTATTAGCTGTTTTTATTTGCTTAGTCAGTGTGTATTTGGGTTTTGGATTTGTTGTGGAGTGAGGAGAACAAAAATACGTTTATAATGTTTGTAAATGTTTAGTTTATTTTACATTATTTCTGAATTAAATGATAAAATGTGACTTATACATCAATCGACTTATATATGCTTATTTTATGCTCATAAAAAAAAACAAAGTAGAGATAGTACAAGAATAGAACTAGGGAGAAGGTCAATACTTTCAGTGAATAATGAGTAAAATTCTAGTCTGTTTATATGGTCATATGGCTTCAGAAGACTTGGAATATACTGCTTGAGTGGTATGGACCACTTTTATAGTGCTTTTGTGTCAATTTTGAAGCTTGAAAGTTTATATTCTGTGTTCCGCAATGTCATGCAGGTTTAGAATGTTAAATTATGTCAATTTCCATTTTTGAATGAACTGTCTAAAACCAGATCTTCCTAACAGAGTGCTTGTGTTGAGACAAGTAACAAAAAAAGAAAGCAAAATAATAAAAGAAAGCAACAATAATAATGCTGTACATCTCTTCAGACAGGAGTTCTAAAGGTCATGAACGCTACTTTGTATGAGCTTTTTTACAAGGATCTTTTGTTCCATCCTCATATGTCTGTGGTGTTCTAGAACGCTGCACTTGTCATATGATTGTGGCTTTCTAAAATTGATTCTTATGTCTGTGTCTCTTTGCAGGTTGCAGAGGAAAGCTGTGTGGATTTGGAGCGGTGTGTGAGAGAGACCCCACTGACCCCTCTAAAGGAGAGTGTGTTTGTAAGAAAATTGTATGTACGTCTGTGGTGGCGCCGGTGTGTGGTTCTGACTCCTCTACCTACTCCAATGAGTGTGTGCTGGAGAAGGCCCAGTGCAATACACAGAGACGCATCAAGGTGATGCGCAGAGGCCCCTGTGGTAAGTCTAGTCACATGCAAAAATCAGTACATCTATACTTGTGAGGACCTCCTGACTGTTGTTCTTAAATTAAAGGGAAAATTCACTAAAAATTAGGGGTCGACCGATATGTGTTTTTCAGGGCCGATGCCAATACCGATTATTACAGATCAAGTAGACCGATAACCGATATTTTGAACCGATATATATGTCTGGTGTAAAAATTTAAATTAATGTCAAAATTAAGAATAACAAGGGCTCTGACAAAAACTGCCTTCCCTGATGTTGGTTGAGTGTAGTACTCCCACAGTAAACTCTTTATTTTTTGGCAAACAAAGGGTTTACCATTAAAATAAAAAAATGGAAGAAATAGCGTATTGTGTGATTATTCTTTTAAACAAAAGTTAATAATTAAATAAAAAAAAGTAATAATTGTTGTAGTAGTCAGGGGTTAAAGCAAAAAAAAAAATCTTTTGACTGAAAATTTTTCCTCGGCCAAACCCCATTCCACAGCCATACCTGTCACACACCCATTTTAAGAGCGCTTGTCCTCCTAATTAAAAAAAATTAAGGAGCACCTTCTGATCAATAATCAAAAATTCTGATCAAAAATTAGCCTTCCTAATGTGAGGTGAAGTGATTTACAGGGGCATTTTCTTTTTACCTTTGCAATGGCATAATTTTCATCTGTAAAATTCAAAAATTTGTTTATAAGCTTTTTAAAATTTCAATTTAAAACAATATAATAAGAAGTAGAATAAGACAAATAAGTTACCAATCATGAAATCGGTGGCGGGCCGTGCATTTTACACCTAGGTTTTGAAAATGACCGATACCGATAATCATAAAATGCTTAATATCGGCGCCGATAATCGGTCGCCTCCTACTAAAAATCATCCTTATGTCTTTCCAAACTCTCTTTTTTCACTGTGGAACACAAAAGGAGAATAATATTTGGTTGCTCTTACAATTAATTTAACACTAGAACCGCCAGAGGTCGCTGTATACCTAAAAGCGCCAGCGGGTAAATTTTACCCACGCACATGACAAAAAATGGTTTTATTCATTACATCATATAGATCAGTGAGTGAAAGGCGTTGCCTAGAAATGTGCAATGTTAAAACATAAGCAGCAAGAAAATGACCGTGCGAAAATACATGCATTATATAGCAGGTAAATTTGACCCGCTGGCGCTTATAAGTATAAATGCCCCGTTTTTTGATCTGGTTTTATCTAAATAATTTTTAACAACATTGGATTGTAAATTACATAATTTTAGTAAAAGTCAATGACTGGGAGACTTGAATGTTTTATTTTAAATCTGTTATGTACATTTGAAAAACGGTTCTAGTGTTAAACAGTGAAGCATGTTTCTTACACCAGAGGATTTCTTTACTGTTGATTTATGATCTTTCTGCAAACACATCTTAGTCAATATTAAAGCAACTGTAACTAAAGCAACTAAGTAGCATAGGGATATACTGTTTGAACGCATCGTAATAGTGATTCATATCAGAAGAAAAGGATAGAATGGGTTCAAATAAATAGTTGATTAATAATGCTTGGATGTAGATAAAGGTGAGCTTAAATATAAGCTTTGCTGAAAGGTGAAGGGCGTATATATCTTTATATCTGTATATCTATGAGTGTGTGTATTTACGTGTGTGTGTGTGTGTGTGTGTGTGTGTGTGTGTGTGTCTGTGTGTGAGTGTGTGTACGTGTGTGTGTATATATAGCATATTTATTTATAGATATATCGCACTAGTGTCACAGAAAATGTCATCTTAGTGTCACCTTTCAGCAAAGCTTTCATGTCTATTTCATATATATTTAATTATTTATTTATTCTGAAATTATTATTTATTACAGCTCGATGCTAAAAGGAGTGGTGTGTTGTTGGAGTGTTGCTATGCAGTTTCTAGTTTTTCTGGGTGGAGCTTGTACCACATATAATATTCAGGTATAAACCTTGGGCTTGTATATGGGAATTTTTTGTTGTTTATTGTTTTGTGGTGCTTGGTTTGTTTGTTTATTTAATTTTTAATTTTTTTGCTTTGCTTTATGTTTTGATTTAGTTTGTTTTCAGGGTAAAATTTCAAGTTAGATCACTTAAAAATTTAACTGTACACCTCTCTTCAACACGTTATTTTATTTAAAGATGCACTAAGCGATTTTTGCTAAACTATGTTGATATTTAAAATCACCAAAACAAACACACCCATACCCCAACAAGACCTCCCCTATTTTGTTAACTCCGCCCCACACGTACGTACACAACCCTGGCAGCGACGATGGCGGAATCTGCTATGCCTGCTGGCTGAGGGTATGATGTCATCAATAAGTGAAAGCGATGTGTGTTACTATGGTAATTCAACGTAAAAATTAATGTAACTCACCTATCAAGAAGAAACAAAGCAACCTTGGCGTCCGATTCCAGGCCTTCCCGCTCCTTGAGTTCTCTCCACCGCTGGAAAGCTGCTCCAGTATTTACACAGTCCTACCTCTTACCTGATCTTAACCCTTCTTTTTAATGTTTTGTTCCTCCGAAATGTTATTTATTTTTTTATCTGCCATCTCTCGCTATCTATAGTCGATCTGCTAATATCCGTCCTGTGCACTCACTGAGTGCTCTCTTCTCCCTATCATTACTAGACATTAAAAGTGTCAAATGTTTTTCAAATATTGCTTAGTGCACCTTTAAGTAAAGCTTATGCCTTGTCAACCTACAATTGTGCTGTTTATAGTTTTGTCTGTATTGGAATTATATAAAATACTGTATTTAACAATGATAAATTACACTCATCAACTTTAAAGGGGTCATATGATGTTGCTAAAAAGAACATTATTTTGTGTATTTGGTGTAATGAAATGTGTTTATGCGGTTTAAGGTTCAAAAATCATATTATTTTCCACATACTGTACATTATTGTTTCTCCTCTATGCCCCGCCTTTCTGAAACGCATTGATTTTTACAAAGCTCATTGGTCTGAAAAGCGAGGTGTACTCTGATTGGCCAGTTATCCAGTACGTTGTGATTGGTCGAATACTTCAAGCTTGTGACGGAAATGTTAGCCCCTTACTATACTGTGATGCCTTGTCCCGGCTGGAGCGACGAGACAAAAACATTAAAACCCATTATAAACAAGGCATTTGTTGCATCCAGTGGGGACATAATTACGGATTATAATGACTTATACTGTCTTTGTCCTCTTTTGGAAGGCCAAACAAAGTAGTTTCGCAACAAACACACGGTGGGCTAGAGTGAGCGGAGGCCGGCGACTAGAGTGAGCGGAGGACGCCGGCTAGAGTGAGCGGCGGCGGGCGGGCTTGAGTGAGCGGAGGCGGGCGGGCGGGTTTGAGAATGGCGCGA